CCCAGCAACCACATGGTGGCTGGCTCACAGCCATCTATACTGAGATCTGGTGCCCTCTTCTGGTATGCAAGCATACATGGAAGGAATGTTGTATACATAATAAATAAATCTTTAAAACAAACAAACAAACAAACAAAAGTGTTACTTTTAGCTCTCTGTGTCTGTGTGTGAGGGCGCCTGTGCTTGTGTGCGCCCAAACCTGAGCTCCGCCATGTGGATGCAGTTACCTATCATGGCCAGAAGAGGGTGCTGGAACACCACCGAGCTGCATCTACAGCTGACTGAGTCTCTAGACTGATAGGATCCAGTCTGCATGAACACTCCATGCTCTTACCCACTAAGTTCTACTCAAGACCACCACACACACACACACACCCGTCTCCGCTCTACTTCAGAGTGGTTATTTTTGAACTGCTGTTGACGGAGGGCAGGGCTGTGTCAGGAAGTTCTTCCCAAGCAGAACTCTTTAGGTTCTAACTGAACACTGAGTAGATCTTTACATGGGAAGACGGCAGGAAGCCTTCCAGGAACAGAGGCTGCTCTTGTAAACGGCGCTAAGACAGGGATGTGGTCAGTTTCCAGGAAATGAATTCTCTCATGTACAGAGCAGAGTGGGCTAAGGGAAGTGAGACGAAAGGAGGGCAGGGAGGCAGGCATGGGTCCCGACCGCCTGTTCTGAGCATGTGCGAATTTCCATCCATCACAGCACTGGTCATTGTTGTATGACAACTCACAGAATTTCTCCTGTGGCTAAGTGGGTTTATTCCTGAATGTTAAGACTGTGAATCCAGGACCACAGGAGACAACTGTGATCCCCACGACCAAGGACAACCTGGCCTAGACTCTTCCCCAAGCTCACCCGACTCTTGCCAGAGAAACAACAGTACCCGCCATGTTCAAGCCAGACACTGTGCCAGGAGCAAGAGCCAAAGCTGCCTGTCAGCCAGGGCCCTGCCTTGCCATCCTACATAACAGTTATCACCCTCATTGGCATGGGGTCTTACTTAGGAGACTGATTTTAAAGTAAGATTTTTTTTTTTTTATAGTATGTTCGTCTGTGGTCTATTTGGGTAGTGTCCATGGATGCCATAAGAAGGCACTGGATCCCCTGGAACTGGATTTACAGATGGCTGTAAACCAACAGGAGGTCCTCTGGAAGAGTAGCCAGCGGCCTAACCCCTGACCCATCTCTCCAGTCATCCAGTGTAGTCTTAATGAGTGACCTCAACTGGAGCTAGAGACTGTTAGTCACCATGTGGTTACAGGGAACCAAACCAGGTCCTCTGCAATGCAATGAGAGCTCTTACCCATGAGGTCATCTCTCCAGCTCCCAAAGTTTAATAAAATATTTTGTGTATGTATATATGTTGACTGTTTTCCTCCTTGTATATCACTATTGTAATGGTTAAAATCTAGTTCCATCTTAAACTGAATTTTCTTTTTTTTATTAATTTTTTTAAATAATTTATTTAACTTTATTTTATGTGGATTGGTGTGAAGGTATCAGATCCCCAGAAACTGGAGTTACAGACAGTTGTTAGCTGCCGTGTGGGTGCTGGGAATTGAACCCAGGTCCTCTGGAAGAGCAGTCAGTGTTCTTAACCACTGAGCCATCTCTCCAGCCCCTTATTAATTTTTTTGAAAAACTATCTTTTCTGATTTTGTATACTAATCCCAGTTTCCACTCCCTCCCCTCCTCCCACTCCCCATTCACTCCTCAGAGAGAGTAAGGCTTCCCATGGGGAGTCAACAAAGTGTTGCACAAGGCTCTCCCCCCTATACCTAGGCTGGGCAAGGTTTCCCTCCAAAGAGAATGGGCTTAAAAATGCCAGTACAAATAATAGGGATAAATCCTGGTCCCACTGTCAGTGGCCCCACAGTCTGCCCCAGTCACACAACTGTCACTCACATTCAGAGGGCCTAGTTTGGTCCTATGTTGGTTCCCCGCTGTTAGGCCAGAGTCAGTGAGCTCTCATTAGCTATTTCAATGGGTATTCCCATCATGGTCTTGATCCCTTTGCTCATATTATTGGTCTTCCCTCTCTTTGACTGGACTTAGGGTAAACTGATTTTTAAACTAACTTACTGTGTAAAAAACAAACAAGAAAAACCCTAGGAGTTAGTAGGGCCCCATGCTTAGCCTAGGGATTATTAACCACAGGATGACTGGACCATACCCAAAAGTCATTCTCATCAGCTGCTGAGTCTTGACAACAATCTAAAGGGCTGACTGGTCTCAGAGCCCCAGGCTCATCTCCCAAAATGTTCCTCTTTCTCTTGTTGTGTGATTTTATCCCAAAATACTAACCAAGTGCTCATTCTGCTTCTGTGATCTCACTTAAATGCTGCTTGCTAAGAAAAACAAAACAAACAAAACCCATGATAATGCCTCACATAGGAAGACATCCCCAGAATTGAGACAGTTGTGCGCTGTGCCTTTAGAAACTGCAGCCTGCATCTTTCCCTCGTGCAGCAGCCCCAGCCTGGCAGAGGAGTGTTGTGGCAACACTGCTAGGAAGGAGACTTCTGTAGTCTTTTCAATTTAAAGTTTGTGGTGTTCTTTCTCTGGTGGCCTCCAACTACAACACTCTATCTACCCTCCTTTTCCTCCCTGTGGTCCCCACTGTCTCCACAGACAGTGTTACTTCAGCACTGTGTCATGTATGTAGAGCTTTCGTGTATGTATATAGAATCCAGGACTGCAGCTGGCTTAATCACATAATGGGATCTTTCTCAGCTGGGTTCATTCTCCTGAAAACGACATACTTCTAATCCCATCTTGTATGGACAGCACCTTTTCTTTGTCCAAGCCTCTGTCCAGGGCTGTCTTGTTTACTAATTGGCTTTTGTACTTAGTGCTGCAGTGACCATGGGTGTAAAGTACCTCTGTGTATCATAGGGTCCTCTGCCTGATTATTCCGGCGGAGCATAGCTGGGTCATATGGATGATTTATTTCCCATGTGTTTTGTTTTGAGAAATGTGTGTACGGACTCTCACAGTGGCTAGACCAGGTTACAGTCCCATTAGCACTGTGTAAGGGCCCCTGTTGTCCACATCCTTGCCAGTATTAGCTGCTTTCTTTTCTTTTAAAAGCTAATTTTAATTCTCTGAGAATTTCAGATGATGTATTTCGACCATATTCATCACCCTCTCCACCAAATACTCCCATTATGTTTAAAGTTTAAACTCCTTATGCTTGAGAGACGAAAAGCAAAGATGCTGTTAGCATGCAAGCCCCTAGGTTGTTCAAGCTGTACCCTAGCAGCACACTTCACTAAACTATTTCTGAAATCCGCTGACCTTGTCCATTTCACTGGTATTGCAAGATAACAGATGAGAAGGCCAACTGCTATTTCTGCTTCGTAGTCAAGCTTGCTTCCAGCTCAACAAGCTGACCAGGACAACTGCAGGGCATAGATGTTAAGATAGGATTCCCCTACATTCAGACAGGTGTGAGTTAACTCCACCCCCCAAATCAGTCCTTTGTGGTTTCTTTCCTTTATAAAACCTGGGCTAATGTGGTTAAATGCTGCATTTTCGAAGCCCTCTCAGATGCAGTCCTGGTGCCTTTAAGAATCTAAATAAATGTCTCTTCATAGTAAATCTCACTGTCAGACAGGTGAACGTGCCTGAATGGCCCCAGACACAACCACCCTCCTTACCGCCCCATAATCACTCTTTCTATCCTCCCTTGCCTTCCCACCTGTTGTGTGACTAGTCCATTCCCTGGAAGATGTAACATACATGGCTCCTCACACCAGACAGGAATCCCATGAGGGACCAAATACAGATGCCACCACGTCTAGCTTGGTGAGCCAATGAGCTTTATGGGCATTGTTTACAGGAATCTGGGTGAGAGGTGACTTACAGGTTCATGGAAATTCAAAGACAGTTGCACCATCAAAGCCTACCCTGGCATGGCTGACAAGCTCGCAAGAGCTGGGAACGGAACCTGGAGCACACTGCACAGCCTGCCAGCAGCTCCACAGGTAGAAGAGTGTCCTTTTAAGTCCAAGCTGGTCTAAGCCCCTTTCAAGCACCATGGCTGTTTTCTGCTTCTTCCCGGCAGCTGGTCTGGTCTCACAGTCATCTTTGTAGCTTGGCTTGTCTGAGAGTAACTCTGAGAAGCTTGGCTTGTAAAATCTTGGGGAGGAGAGAAAGAGAGAATTTGGTCAGTTTTAGAGAGTTCCTTCCTGAAGCTGTTTTGAATTGCTGACCTTCCTGTTTAAGGAGCTTCCCTGCAGGCTTGAATGTCCCAGTCTCTGAGGAAAGGACTACACAGCACTGACACTGGACAACACAAACTCTTGCTTACATAAGAGCAGTAAGCAAGAGCACCTTTGGGCAAAGGCTGAGTATGCTATCGCGAGGAGCAATGGCCTAAAATGCTACATACTTACTGGTACAGCCACAAAAAACTAAACTAGGCATAAAGAAAAGGATAAGTAGGCTAGGACACTAAGATTCAATAAGATCTAAAGTCAGAGAAGTAAGCCAAGAGGTTGAGGATTCCCCAAAACAACAAGCAAGGCAATTCTGAGGGACCGAGACGGTCTCGTTGTCCTGACTGGCATCCGAGGAAGAACAGCAGCACACGTGCGGGCCAAGGCCAAGGCTCCCACTCCTCAGAGCCGTCATGGACTTCTCCAGCAAGTGCTGGCATTGCTTCATGCCCTTCAGGGTCTCCACCGGCAAAAAATTCGGGGGAGGAAGCAAGAGAGTTCAATCTACAAAGAGGTTGGAGAGAATGAATTTATAGGGTTGTTCTGCAACCTCACATGCTAAACATAGCACATAGGTGCGGGCACACACAGATGGACACGAGAGACAGGCAGGGAGAAGAGGGGAGACAGAGAAATATGTGAGACAATGTAAATGATTTTAAGTGTTTGACAAGGCGTCCTGGCTCTCAGAGCTCAACCATCTGTCTGAAATAGGCTAAGGTTGGAGGCAACATACATACCAAAATGGAGCCGAAATCGACTGACTGCTAAGTCCAGGCTAGTACAGGGTAGTGGTAGGTGTGGACTGAAGTCGCTAACCATTCCGGGAAGGAGGTGTGTCACAGCTTGAGGTGGGCCAGACAGAGCTGGAAAGAGAAGAAAGAGTTGACCTAAAGGCAGTGTAGCCTGGTGGGAAAAAATCTAAGTCTAGGAAGCATCAGGCAAAGACCAAGTGGGGACAGCGCAGTGATGTCTGCTGACGTGATGCTGGGTGTCCACTTTGAGCCAGGCAAAACCAAGAGGCTGAAGCCTCTGGCCATGGAACTGACTGACAGTTCTCAGTGCTGGGAGCTGGGGAGTTCACTGGGAGCAATAGTGCTGCTGAGAGTGACCTGGGACTCCAGTCTGCATGGAGGATTCCCAAGAAAAGGCTCACCTATGAGCCTGCCTGAAGAGGAGTGATTTCCTTATCTTAATTGATATGGAGAGAATCCCAGATTGCATAGGAAGGGGAAACTCTAGTGCAGCACAAGCAAGCAAACTTCTCCCTGCTCTTGACTGTGGATACGGGATGAGTGGCCACTTTGCATGTGTGCCTTGACTCACTGTGATAACGCAGTGTAACCTGGAAGTGTAAGTCACCATCTGCACAAAGGCAAAGAAAATAGAACGGCATTGTTCCGGATCATCACACTGACAACCCAGGGAAAACAGGTGACTGATGGTTCTCTTACTTCCGGCAATAACAAGCTTTGGTTCCCAACTTGGGCTCTGTGGCACCCAGGGTACACGGCCTAAGGAATTCTGCCAAGGAGCTGAGGGATGTCTGTCAGTGCATGGCACGTGACAGGAGACAGCAAGGAGGAGCTTTCAGAGGCCCTGAGCATCCTCCAGTAGTGACCTTCCGAGGAGAAGCGGTTACAACGAGAGGAAAGCCTGTGAGCCTCTACTTGCTGCTCTCACCGCCATTCCACTGAGGGAACTTGTCCCCAGCACGCTGACTGAAGCACAGGTGAAGAGCACAGATTCCAAGATTTCTCCCATTTAAAAAATTACCAGTGATCTGAAAAGACAGGACCTCTGCCCAGGTGGCCCTTTGCCAGGTCCCATCTTCAGAGGGATTCTAGGTCTGGGCATTGAAAGGAATGACCTGTGTCACAGTACACAGTGGTAGGGGGAGGAAGAGAGAGGCTGGCACCCATTTACCTCCAGACTAGAGATGGTGGTGACGATGCAGATGATGATGTCTGACCTAGTGATGATGGCCTCCTGACCTGCACACAGAGACCATGGCTGCCAGGGGTCCACGTGCACCAGGAGGCTGAGGGAGAAGTGAGAGGGTGAAAAACCATGGGATGAGAAGGACGGTGATTCCCAAGAACCCTGAACATAAGCCAGCCCACACCTTCCTGAGGCCCTGACAATGAACAGATAGATCCTGAAGGAAAATGGGGCACAGACAAAGGGAGGATTATCCACACAGTGAGTCACAGGGGACAGAGTGCTCAGTAGGAGAGGACAGCGGGGAGGCTGCACAGATGGCGTGGGAATATAGGCCCTCCCCATGTTCCTGGATTGGCAAGGCTTACCCTAGGACCAGGCAATGGCTGTTCAGAGAAGACAAGGTAACTGAAGATGAAAGCAGAGAACACTAAAGTTAAAAGATGTTCACGAGGTCTTCGCTGGTGAGAGACGCAGCTGATGCAGATCCAGGTGTCCTGGCTGGTGCAGGCTCTTGGCATCAGGGAAGTCTAGCTGATCAATGCACTATGTCAGTGGGTTGTTTGCCCACACAAAACACCTCCTATGGAGAAGGCAGCTGGGACCCACAAGTTAAAGAGTGTACTTATTTTTAAGGGGAGGGGAAGGGAGCTTGGCTGAAAATGAAGTTTCAAAGTTCAGGGAAAAGAACAGATCCCACCAGAGGCATGTGAAAGTTTTCCATTCAGGGATCCCTTACTGGGCTCCTCCTCCTGCTGCCTCTTCCAGTGGGGCCACTCTGGTGTTAGTCAAAGGCAATGCTTGCCTATTCGGCAGCCTCGCACAGCAGAGTCTCCACAGGCAATCCCTGGTTGCCCTCATCAGTGACCTGAAACATCCTATGTTGTGAGACGAAGATGGTCCAGGTGGCAAGGGCAGGTTGTTTCGGCAGCCGACACATGGGGCAGACACAGCCTTAGTCAGTAGGGCATGGCTAGAAGTGGGGATCTTCTGGGAACACCATAGAGAGGCATGGGGACCCTTCTGGCCATCATCTGCCCTGATAGGTCAAAGGTGGGCTTACTGAGCTTCCTTCCAGGTAATGGCCAGTTGTTGAAGAAGGTACCGGAAATGGTGGAGGGGCAGGGTCTGCCCTCATGGCTGAGGTGGTGGAGTGAAGCCTGTGGTCTGCCAGTTCTTTTAATATTATATTTGTCTCTCTGAGATTTTACATGGAAAATTTACATTTTTTGTACAGGAGTATGCGCAGGGAGATACTCGAAGGAACACATAATCACAAAAGGCAGGCTTTGTGAAGAAAAGAACGACATTTCGACAGCTAGCATCAGCCTGAAAGTGCTGTCATGGCGGTCACACTGTTCATCAAGACCTGATGCCCCAAGACATCCTGCTGGACGCAGAGGGCAACGTGAACCTGGGAGACTTTGCCCTCGCTGCCAGGTGTGGAGCTGGCACTGAGATTGAAGAATGAGTACCCTGTATATAAAGGCTGTAGGCTGGGCTACATTTCTGTCCCAACAGACCAGGGAGCCGATTTCTGTGACCCGTGAGACTCCTTGGTAAATATCTCCATTCTAATTGTTGGTTTCAGGCTTTGGCACAACTGTTTCTGGACAGGCGGCCGGTAACAAGCCTCATGACCTGCTTTCCCCAGGAATAAGAACCTAGACAGGCAATTTAATAATGTGTTGTGTGTGCACCATCAGCCAGGATGGACTTGGCACCGTGGCACTGGCCTCCCGTCATGGCGTTTACATGCTAGCGGCAATAAGAGCAGTGGAAGGAGACAAAGAGACATCTAGTCATGACTTACGTGGCAGCCCTAAGGAATGGTTATGAAGCGACACATCATTTGCCTCTCCCAGATTTTAAATACGCAACGTTACACTTTCAAAGGGATGGAGTATGCGACGGGAGGAAATTTGAGGAAGCAGATAACTAGAAGAGGGCAGGCTGCCTGAGTGAGGAAATGTTTGGGTAGCTAGTGTCAGCCATATAGGGTTGCCATGACCACGGATGGTACTGTCCATAGAGACGTGAAACCCGAGAGCATCCTGCTCGATACAATAGGGCAACATAAAGCTGGGAGACTCTGGCCTCGCTTCCAAGTGAGGAGCAGGCATCATGCTGCAAGGGCGCAGTGGGACTGAGATCTCCAATGCTCCAGAACTAGTTCTGAGGAAAGGGTATGATGGGAGGAAGGCAGATTATCTGGAGTCTGGGTATAATGCTCTATTTTATCCACCACGGGCACCACCCCTTCAGAGGAAGGACCTTGGAAGAGACTTGAGAGTAATATAAAAAAAGGAAGCTATGACACCCCAGCTTACATTTCCAAACACCTTCGTGATCTTATGTTAAAATACTCAGTGTTGCCACAGAGAGGAGGCCCAACATGGAAGAACTTGGGAACATCCATGGTCAAGAACCCTCAGGAAAACATCCCTAGTAGGCCCTACCCACATCCTGTCACTGTACATGGACCCGTCTTATGTTGGGTTTGGTATCAACCAGATCTCTCACTCCTTATATAAAAGAAAATATCGTGAGATTATGGGGACGTACCTACTATTAGAAAGGGAACACAGGGGTTTGATCCTATCACCTTAGTCAAGCCTGTAACCCCGGGATTTCACCTCCACCATCTCTGGTATATCCTTGTGGTCATCACCTGAGAAGCCAGTGAGCCCGCTCACCTTTGTCCTTTTCCACACCGAGTCTTCAGAAGGGGTTATGCCTGATGTACTGACAATATCAGGGCAGAGGATGACCAGAAGGGCCCCTACACCTCTACGGTGTCCCCGTAAGGGGAGCCGTACTTCGAGCCATGCCCCACTGACCGAGGCTGCATCTGCCCCGTGTGTCTGCTGCAGCACGTTGGAAGAGGAAATGCCCCTGCCACCCACACCTGACTCTGACGCTGAGACAGCGTCTTCTGCTCACAACACCTGGTGCTGCTGGATACTGAGAAGGCAATAGGGGCAGGCCTGTCAAGACTGTGCTGCTTCTTGGTGCGCCATATGTACAACCCTGGTGTGTGTGTTCAGCAACAGAGTGGCCCCACTGAGAGAGGCAGGAGGAGGAGCCCAGTAAGGGATCCCTGAGTCCGTGACTGGGGATCTTTTGGATCCCTCCCGTTTGACCTCTTGTTCCTCTGTATTCTTTGAGCATCGGGGTATGTGTGGCGGGGGGAGTATGGGTGGGGGGTTATGAACTCTTCCCTCCTGAACATTCCCGTATCATTCTCAGTTTTCAGAGCCGAGGCGGCAGACCCTGGCCCTGTGCCTTTACTATGTCAGGACCTCACTTAAAGCAGAGTCACTGAGTGACCCCACTCTGACCTTTTCCAGAACCAGCGTTCATAACAGCACACGCCTGATATGAAACCAGGGCAGATGACCACAAGTGCCTCCAGGCTTCTGTGCAGGCTCCAGAAGCTCTGCCCCCTGAGAAAGGTCAGCTCTGGAGAGTCAAGGGCAGCTGGAGCCCATGATGCCTGTTCCAGCTTCAGTTTCAGCTTAGCAAAGCTCATTTCCGGAACTCCCCGAGGAGCTAGATATCGTGCCATGCTGCCCATTGCTGTGGTTCATTGGCATCCAGGCTTGATAGGTCTATTCTTGCACCTCCCCTTACAAACGTCCTTCCTAAAAGCCAGAAATGACATGAGATTCTCACTGAAATGGCCACTGAAGCGTCATTCTTGCTTAGAGTGCCCGAGGAAATGTCACAGGGGTGGGAAGTGTCTCCTTAATTTTCATTCTCTTTTGTTGTCCAAAGAGAGAGACTCATCAGGCTGACCCCAGCTCCCCCATAATATCGGGGTGAGACTTCACCAGGACCTGTCTGCACAGGAGCACAATGACCATCTAGCTTCATGGCCTGCATCCCCTGAATGAACAGCCTGAAAAATAAATTTAAAGTGCTA